GACGCAAGGTCAGGCCCTATGACATACAAAGTTAAGGTAGTTGATACAGTCCTGAACAAACATGTGGATCACCTGAAAGCTGTTAGCTCGCAAACGGGGCTGGAACAAAATATCCCTGGCCCCTCCGAACAGCCAGAAGGCTTGTCAGAAACTGCAGGTGCACCCCTCTCTGTCTAGTGTCGAGGGAACCTCAGAGTCTGAAATGGATGCAGCCTCAATACTGTTGCTGCCGGAAGAAGAGGAGGAAACTGTCATGATATGTTCCAGATGCAAGTGATGGGCCACAGTCAGGTACACACCACCTGTGTCTCAGTGTGAGTCAGAGGAACCGGACCTGGGATAAAAATGTTGCAAGTGAAGCTACAAGCAAAAGCCTACATCCCTGGACTTAGGAGGGGAGGCATGTAATGATTGGGACCAGATGGACCTCCTTAACTACAAGGTTCTTGATTGGCCCAGATTAACAACCCCAATCAGGAAAGCCTTGTCTGACCAATACAACCAGGAGATTGGACTGACTGGTCATGGCCCGTGTATTGTGCACTAATAAAGACAGGTTGACTTGGTGACTGGACACTGGCCTCTGTGCAGTTATTTCAAAATAACAACACCAAGGGATGATAAACACAAGAGCAACAGCTAGAAAAGGACAGGCAGCATCAGTGTATTATTGAACTTTTGGAAGAAAGGCATATCAACACTGGGTTTAAAAATTATTTTGCTGAATCCAATATGACACCAAATTTTAAACAATCCATCTGTACCATCCCTTATTTAGAGCTTTAAATTTGTTAGAAAATCACCCAAAGTGGGAACATTACACTTCTCGTTTAATAATGGGTTATTTAAAGGTCAATATTCCATTTTCATCCTCCCCTACTGGCTATAACGCACCTCCTGGAAGAAAGGTATAATAATGAGGGGAGAAAGATTTTGACACTACACAACAGTCTGTGAGAGTGAGAAGTTATGACCTAGTGGTATTACTGCTGAGCTATTAATCGAGAGACCCAGGTAATGTTGGGGGGACCCGAGTTTGAATTCCACGATGGCAGCTGGTGGAATTTGAATTCAATTAAAAATAGTCTGGAAAAGCCCATCTGGTTCATTATTGTCCTGTAGGCCTACATGTGACTCCAGATCCACAGCAATGTGTTTGACTTTTAACTGCCCTCTGGGCAAATAGGGGCGGGTAATAAAATGTTGGCCTAGCTACAACGCCCTCATGTTGTGAATGAATTTTTTTTAAAAATGACAGCAAATCAATCGTTTGACAGAAAGGGAGCTGGGAACAGCAGTGTGGAAGTCAGGGATCTGCATCAGACCACTTCATAGGAGCAACTGCAGTGCAAAGGGGATCAAGCAGAAAGTGCAGTTCAGGAGACAAAGAGCAAGTAAGAACTGGGAATGTGACAAGTCACCTTAGTGGATTGTAAGAAGGATAACTTCAAATGTCAGCTCTTCTATTACATTATAACAAAGAAATGGAAGTGGAATTCTAATAGCCAAATTGTTTTTAAAACTATTTTGTTCGAGCAGAGAGATCCAGAAAGTAGTGTGTAGAAGCTGGAATTATTGTTTTATAATATTGGGAATATTAGAATACCACTAACTTGAATTTCAATGGCCTTGTGTTGTTTCAGAGGTGCAACTGAGTCTAAGTATACATAAAGATCTGTAGCTCGGGTTGCGGGTGATGTTGTTGACTTGCTCACCAAGCTGGCTTGTTCTCGTTCAGACGTTTCGTCACCGTGCTAGGTGACATCATCAGTGGGGCCGCCGATGAAGCGATGTTATTCTACTTCACTTGGAATTTATGGACCGGACAGTATGAATTCCAAGTGGAGTAGAACAACATTACTTCATGAGAGGCCTCACTGATGATGTCACTTAGCACGGTGACGAAATGTCTGAACGAGAACAAGCCAGCTCAGCGAGCAAGTCAACAACCTCACACATATGTCTGTGTAAGAACTTTGACAGAGCCCACTCTATTCTAAAACAAATCTCCTTCTGAAAGTTGTTACCTTGATTCTACTTCCAGTTCCCTTTCACGCAGTGTTTTCTACTCATTTTGTGAACAAATTTCTTCTCATATCTCCAAACACTACATATTTTTGTCAGTGTAGAATTCTTGTGTTAATAGGAATTTAGAATTGAGACGGTTGTGCCTTGTATGTCCTAAATAGTAACCCCTCTAGAATAACCCCTCAAGCCATAACAGAACAGCTGGAATTACCCATCACCATGTCCCAATGCACAGCCAGCCGATTTTTGGCTTTCCCAGGCGTACTATCTTCCACCTCTGTGTCTGCCTAACAGTCGCGCTCTCTTCCTGGGCTCCATCTCCACTTATCTGATTACTCCTTTACCCCACACCTCACCCCCAACCAACACCTGTCGTCAGTATATATACCACCTTTTCCTCGCTAATATCAATTCTGAAGAACGGTCACTGGACTCAAAATGTTAACTCTGCTTTCTTTCCTCAGGTGCTGAGTTTCTCTGTTTTTTGTTTTTGTTCCATCTGTTTTTGTTTCATCTGTTTTTGTTTCAGATTTCCAACATCCGTAGGCCTTTGTTTTAATATACCATTAGTCAGCTCAGTGGTCTGGATGGTGTAGAATGCAGTTGGTCCAGGACAGCCCCCCAGCAATTTAAGTCCCCTGTCAAATTAAAAGTGCAGTTTCTGTAGGAATGCTGACAACAGATACTCAGGTATTATCTCTTTACATATTACCCAATACATCAAGGATAATGCTATGGAAATGCGATAGCTGATATAATTGGATTGATTGAAATTTATTATTAAAAATTGGAAAGTTATTTTTATTGTGCTTTGGAATAGGGAAAAATGGAGAACATTTCTAAAACATAGCCTTAGTCTCAAAAGACATGAGAAACTTCAAATAGAGTCATAGAGCTGTACAGCATGGAAACAGACCCTTCAGTCCAACTCATTCAAGCCGACCAGATATCCTAAATTAATCTAGTCCCCTTTGCCAATATTTGATCTGTATCCTTCTAAACACTTCCTATTCACATACTCATCCAAATGTCTTTTAAATGTTGTAATTGTAACAACCTCCACCACTTCCTCTGGCAGCTCATTCCATATATGCATCACACTCAATGGGAAAAAGTTGCCCCTCAGGTCCCTTTTAAATCTCTCCCCCCTCACATTAAACTTGTGCCATGTAGTTTTGGACCCCTACATCTCAGGGAAAAGACCTTGTCTATTTACCCTATCCATGCCCTTCATGGCTCTAAATTCACCCCTCAGCCTCCAATGCTTCCGAGAAAAAAAATCCCCAGCCTCTCCCTATAGCTCAAACCCTCCAGCCCTGGCAACATCCTTGTAAATCTTTTCTAAACCCTTTCAAGTTTCACATTATCCTTTCTATAGCACATATGGATGACTTGGAGGAGGGGAAGTGTAATATTTCCAAATTTGCTGTAAATACAAAAGTAGGTGGAAGGACATATTCTAATGGGGAGATAAGAAATCTGCAAGGGGATTTTCTGAAGAAGGGTCTAGGCCCGAAACGTCAGCTTTCCTGCTCCTCTGATGTTGCTTGGCCTGCTGTGTTCATCCAGCTCTACACCTTGTTATCTGCAAAGGGATACAGGTAGGTTGAGTGAGTGGGCAAAAGCTTAGCAGAAGGAATTGAGTGTAGGAAAGTGTGATGTCATGCACTTTGATAGGAAGAATCAAAAGACAGATTATTACTTAAATGGAGAACGATTTCAAAAGAAGTGCAGCACAGAGGGATGTGGGTGACCTTGTGCATGAAACACAGAGGTTAGCATGTAAGTGCAGTTAGTTAAGACAACAAAGTGAATTTTGGCCTTTATTGCTAAGGCAGTTAGAGTTTAAAAATAGGACAGTCTTGTTACAACTGTACAAGGTTTTGTTGAGACTGCATCTGGAGTACTGTGTACACTTCTGGTCTTAGTACTTAAGGAAGGCTTTGGTGGTAGTTCAAAAAAAGATTCACTGGGCTGGTTCCTGGGATGGAGGGGCTGACTCATCAAAATTGATTACACAGATTAGGCCTACATTCAATGGAGTTTGGAAGCATGAGGGTGTTCTTATTGAAATATATTAGGTTCTGAGAGGCCTGACAGAGTAATTATCATAGAAGATTCATCGAATCCCTACAGTTGTGAGTGCAGGCCATTCGGCCCATTGAGTCCACACCGAACCTCTGAACAGCATCCGTCCAAGACCCACTACCTGCCCAATACCTGTAACCCTGCATTTCTCATGGCTTATCTACCTAGCCTGCACATCCCTGGACACAATGGGCATTTAGCATGGCCAATCCTCCTAACTTGCACATCTTTGGACTATGGGAGGAAACTGGAGCACTCAGAGGAAACCCACATAGACGTGGGGAGAACGTGCAAACTCCACACAGGCAGTTGCCCGAGGGTGGAATCAAACCCAGGTCCCTGGTGCTGTAAGGCAGCAATGCTAACCACTGAGCCTGAGATGCACTTTGAGAAGATGCTTGTACTCTTGAGGGAATCTCAAACTAAGGGACATAGTTATAGAATAACAGGATGCACCTTTAAAACTGAGATGTGAAGGAATTTCTTCTCCCAGAGGCTGGTGAATGTCTGGAATTCTCTACCCCAAACAGCTGTGGAGACTACTGAAAACAAATGCTGGAGATCACAGCAGGTCAGGCAGCATCCATAGAGAGAGAGCAAGCTAACGTTTCGAGTCTAGATGACTCTTCATCAAAGCTGTTAGCTTGCTCTCTCTCTCTCCATGGATACTGCCTGACCTGCTGTGATCTCCAGCATTTGTTGTTTTCAGTGCAGATTCCAGCGTCTGCAGTAATTTGCTCCTAAGTCGTGGAGGCTAGTTCACTGAAAGCATTTAGAGAGGAGGCAGGTAGATTTTTGAAAATATGTTGAGGAAGGTGAGGAAAGAGGAGTTGAAACCTGGGGCAGATCTGCTATGCCGTTGTTGAATGGTGGGGTCAGGCTTGAGGAGCCGAAGTGTATGAGGTTACGATGACAGTGGAAGTATTTGTTGGCGTGCAGGGAGCCTGCAGGCGGCGCCTGGGACACTTGGCTTCACGCCGGAGTGTGGTGTATGTAGCCGCTGGACTGTGAGGATGGCAGGGGAGACAGCAGCGGATTTCCAGCTTTTCACAGAGACTCACCGAGCGGCCCTGGAAACGTCGGGGGTGCCACCACTTTATTGGGAGAGTTTGCACCACAAACTCGCACATGAGGTCGTTCATCACTGAGCAGCGGATTCTGTAGATTTACAGATGGTGGGGAGGGTGTGGATGTCTCACAAACTCTTCCGGTGCAGTGTGCAAAATGCTGAAAAAGCACTCGGCTTAGGGGATCTGCTTTTTAATTACATTTCTAATCATTTAAACCGTTAAAACATTGCTGGGTTTTTTTTCCGGGAGACTTTTAATGCACGGATTGGGAACAGTAGCATTTTATTTGCACTTCCAGTTTGCATTTGCAACTCGCTGTCTTTCGGATGAGGCCACTGTAGTGAGAAACATGGTTCGAGGTGGTTTCCTTTTGCAACAAAAATTAACCTGGAATTTCAGCGGAGGCTAGGTTTCCCCGGTTTGTGGTGGGGACAGGTGAAGGGAACCTTTGACTGAATGGACTTGCATTGATGTCGCGCCTATCACAAAAGGTTTCATCGCTGGTTAAGAACCTTTTGAAACATAGTTATTTGTTGGATAGCTAATGAGATAGATGATTGCTTCATCTGTTGGTGTTGGCAGCTGAGGGGTAAATTTTGGCTGGAATACCGGGCAACTGTTGAACATGCATTTGTATAGCACCTATATTTATATAAGTCGCTTGAAAGGAATGGTGCAGGCTGACTGAGTTTTTTTTTAAAAAATACAAACACAACTTTGGAGTTCTGGGAGGATAGAATTGCAAAACTGAGAAAGTACTTTAACTTGTGTAGGAACTTGGCTAGACCATATTTTGAGTGCTATAAACAGTCTGGTCCCCCCATTACAAAAAGCCACCAGAGAAGTGAAATAACAATTTGACTGAATGATATATGACTCTTGGTTCTTTCAGGACAGAACATTAAGACAGGGAGATAAAACAAAAGGCTGGTGGATAACCTGTTGGAGGCCTTAAAGGTTATGGCAGAGTTTGATGGGTTTGCTGTGGAGAAGGCCAGAACTAAGGCTGCAAATATACTACTGTAGTGGTTCCCAAAGTGGAAATTTTATCTTTACAATGGCGGATTTTCAGGAACGAAAGCATTTTTTGACTTTTGCTATGCTCCCGGCACTCCCCTTCATAGTCCAGGGGTTCCCAAAGTCAAGGGGTGATATAGTGGTTAGCAGTGCTGCCTCACACTGCCGGGGACCTGAGTTTGATTCCACCCTTAGGCAACTGTCTCTGTGGAATTTGCACATTCTCCCCGTGTCTGCCTGAGTTTCCTCCGGGTACTCTGGTTTCCTCCCACTGTCCAAAGATGTGCAGGTTAGCTGGTTTGGCCATGCTAAATTGCCCCGTTTTGTCCATGGATGTGCAGGTTAGCTGGGTTAGCCATGGTTAAAAAACAAACCCATGCGGGATTACAGGTTTGGGTCTGGGTAGGATATTCTTCAGAGGGTCGGTGCAGAGTTAACGGCCTGATTGGTCTCTTTCTGCACTGTAGGGAGTCTGTGGTATGAAGGGGATTCGGGAGAAAGCTCTGACGAGTGACTGAGCTGGAGAAATTGATGTGGGAGTTGGTGGGAATAGAGTTAGAAAGTGGGGTTAATGAGTGAATGGGGGGTGGTGTTGGAAAGAGGGTCTAATGATTGAATGGTGGGGCAACAATTGATATATTTCCCCCAACTTCAAATATGTGCCTCCAACAAACAAGCTTATCCATTCCATTAATGGAAAGTTTAAAAAAGGCATATGTTCGCCTGATGAAGGGTCCTGACCAGAAACGTCAGCTTTCCTGCTCCTCTGATGCTGCCTGACCTGCTGTGTTCCTTTAGCTCCACACTGTGTTATCTCTGAATCCAGCATCTGCCATTGTTACTATCTCACACGTTCGCCTGTAACATGATTACACTGACTTAGAAAAATGTGTGGTTGTTGGAGGGTTAGTTGAAAAGGAAACTGCCTCAAGTAGTAAAGAAAGTAGTAAATCTGAATGTGGTACACAGCCAAAAATAAATTTGGGCATGGTCCTGCGGTAATGAATTTGGAAGGAAATTCAGGATAAAATCCTTCACCCAGAACATGGAACCAGTCACCAGAGGGAATAGTTGAGGTGAATTGTGAACATCCATTTAAATTGAAGTTAGGTAAACACAGGAGGGAGAAGGGAATAGTTGGAGAGATTGGTAAAGTTGGATGGAAAGGAATGGGAAGAGGCTTGTGAAGCAAAAACACCAATATTGAGCTGTTGGTCTATTTCGATGCTGTAGATACTTTGCGTAACTTAATGCAGTACAGAGGCTGAGAGGTGACCAGATAGAAGTATATAAATCAAGTGAGAGGCTTGGATAGGGTGGATAATCGAAGTCTTGTTCCCAGAGTGGAAATGTCAAATAGTAGAGGACATAAATATAACCTGAGGTGGGGGAACGTGTTTAAAGGAGATGTGTGAGGCAAGTTTTTTTTTACACAAAAATTGGTAGGTTCCTGGAGTGTGCTGCCAGGGGAGGTGGTAGAAGCATTTAGATAGACACAGAAACAGGCAGCGTACAGAAGGTTACAGACCACGTGCAGGCAGATTGGATTTATTCAGAGTTACATTATGATTAGCACAGTCATGATGGGCGGAAGGGCCTGGCCCTGAGCTGTACTGTTCTGTGTTCTAAAATGTCACAAGCACCTTGTCAAAATAAAAAGATACTGAACTAATTAAGGAGCAGGGAGGGCAGATGACAGATGCTTAGTGAAGTGTGGTTCTCAGCAGCAACTTAAAGGAGAAGAGGGGGCAAAGATGTGGGGCAATTACGGAGTCTCAAAATTGAGAGTCGAGAATTGGAGGTGTGCAGAAATCTCAGGGTTGAAGAGTTGAAGGATGTTGTTAAGACAGGAAGAGGCGAGATCATGGAGGGATTTGAAAATGAGGATGACAGTTTGAAAATTGAGTGATTGTCTCCATTTGGGTTTTCTTAATATTGTGTTCTGATAAATTGTTTAATTAATGTCTGAAATTGTCAGACATGTTTGATTTGAACTTGGGACCTAATGATTTATTTTGGAGTTATTCCAGTAGTATTTTTTGGCAATTATTTTTTACTTTTCGGTTAAAGATATATTACAGTAAATAAATAATAACACCACAATCTAATGTTGATTCGGCTCTTCACCATTCTCCTTGTTGTCACAATATCCATTGGTGCATTGTTGCCTGCCTCATGGTAGTGGAGAAAAGTTTGTATGTGGGTAATGCAGCATTGATGGTTAAATTTCACATTGAAAGTTGTAGCTTAAAAAGATCTGATGTAAAAAAGCATAGCATTTTTCACAACTGCTTTAAGATTATATTAAGTTGGTAGCTAGAAACAAAAGTGACCATGAAACTTTTAGAATAATATTTTCCTTTGTTTTACATTTGCTGAATGTAATGTAAACGGGGATAGGTGGGGAGATACCCAAGTTTGAGACACTGGCATTCCCACTAAGACAACTGCCATTCAAAGGGTTGTCCATCTTTATTTAAAAGAGTTAGAGGGGTGAAACGATAAACCATTGGTAATTCACTCTTAGCTTTCTAATAGACCAAAGAATCTGATAAGATTGCAGACGTGATTGGATGTATACATTTTTCAGCTTATGCCTCGATATCAAAAAGGTTGTAAAGCAACTAGTAAATTAGGTTAACAAACTAAGTTTTTAAAGTACATTGTTAAAATTACTCCCGTACACCCATAGACCTAGTGCAGAAAGGAGGCCAGGTGGCTGCATTCCAATCATTAGGAGGGTCCAGACCCGAAACGTCAGCTTTCCTGCTCCTCTGATGCTGGCTGGCCTGCTGTGCTCATCCAGCTCTACACCTTGTTATCTCAGATTCCAACATCTGTAGTTCCTACTATCTCTCATTAGGAGGTAGTGTTTTCACAACGCATAGGAAACATAACTGATTAATAATGTTAGCATGGAGGATAAACACTGTCATGGACTTCTACAATTTTTATTTGCTCAAGTTGATGGGTATCCCCTCAATTTAATCACCATGTGGGGTTTAAAACTACTTCATAAGCATGTTGCGTGACTGATTCTGAATTATCAATTAGAGTCGCGAAGTCAAGCGAATTTTGAACTAGCTCACTCTACGCTTATTTAAATAATGGCGGTGGCAGTTAGATTTGAGTCTGATTGTCAGTTATAAAAATCCAGATAAGCTGAGCAATTGATGGCTGAACTGATACTAAATAAATTAATAGAAATATAATTGTATACAATATTATAATGTAAATAACAGATTTATGACATTTATCACTTGGGGAACTGAAGATAAAATTAGGGAAGTTGTGCCTCAATTATACAGGACACTGGTGAGACCACATGTGGAGTACTATGTACAGTTTTTGTCTCCTATATTAAGGAAAGATGTAAATGCATTGGAGGCAGTTCAGAGGAGCTTTATCAGAATAGTGCCTGAATGAGTGAGTTGTCTTATGAGGAAAGGTCAGACAAATAGGCTTGTATCCACAGGAGTTTAGAGGTGACTTGCTTGAAACATATAAAACCTTAATGGTTTTGTTAGGGTAGATAAACAGGATGCTTCCTGTTTTGGGAGTATCTAGAACTAGGAGTCACAATTTAGAAATCAGGAGTTGCCCACTTATGACTGGCATTAGGAGATTGTCTATGTCAGAGGGTCATGTATCTGTGGAACTCATTGAAAAAGTCAGGGAAGCGGAGTACTTGAATATTTTTAAAGTAGAGGTAGGTAGATTCTTGTTAAGCTGGGGGATGAAAAGTAATCAAAGATAGGCAGGAATGTGGATTTGTGGTTACAATTAAATCCGGCATGATCTCACTAAATGGCATAGCAGTCTTGAGGGGCTGAATGGCATAGCCCTGCTCTTGATTCAAATATAAATTGTTAGTGAGGGAATGAAACGTTTTTCAATTAAATTGTGCCATTCCCAGCCATGAGTCACCCCAAAGCCCTTTATAGCCAATTAAATACTTTTGAATTGCAGTTATTGTTGTAATATAGGAAATTTGCAATAACCGACAAACAACAATAAGATATATAACCAGATACTCTACTTCAGTAATGTTAATTTAGGCAAATTAAAATGGAAAATAAAGCCAATCTCCCTGACTTTGCTTATAACAGTAACAGTTCCTTAAAAGTTTTACACCTACGTGCTTTATTCTGCAGTGTTAATATAACATTTTATTTTTAGATATTTGATGCGGGTGAAGTGTTTGGGATTATGCAGTTTGAAAATGAGGAGGGTGATGAAGATGCTGAAGAGGAAGAGATAACACACAACCCTGGCACACCACCTGTTTACAAAGTCATTATCACCAAAGAAGATGGCCTGCAGGCTGCAGATGCTAATAGGTAAGGAACAATTCTCCCACATCTCCCGCACCTCATCCCTCACACCCCGTCCACGCAATAAGAACCAAAAAAGAATCCCCCTCGTCCTCACGTACCACCCCACCAACCTCCGGATCCAACGCATCATCCTCCGACACTTCCGCCATCTGCAATCCGACCCCATCACCAAAGACATCTTTCCCTCCCCACCCTTATCTGCTTTCCGGAGGGACCACTCTCTCCGTGACTCCCTTGTCCGCTCCACACTCCCCTCCAGCTCCACCACACCCGGCACTTTTCCCTGCAACAGCAGGAAGTGCTACACCTGCCCCCATACCTCCTCCCTCATCCCCATCCCAGGCCCCAAGAAGACTTTCCACATCAAGCAGATGTTCACCTGCACATCTGCCAATGTGGTATACTGCATCCGCTGTACCTGGTGTGGCCTCCTCTACATCGGGGAAACCAAGCGGAGGCTCGGGGACCGCTTTGCAGAACACCTACGCTCG